TTACTATTTTATAAATAAAGTTTTTCTCTATCTACTATATAAGTTTTATACAATTTTAATCAATAGTTAACTAAAAATTTAACAAAAACAAAAAATTTATAATTTATTTTTTAAACTAATTTTCTCAATGATTATTGGTCTAAAACAAATAATTTTTTTTTATTTAATAGATATATATTTTCTCTATAAAATATTAAAAAATTATTAAAATCTAATCACTAGTTGCAGAGACAATTCAAATAATCTATTCTAATATATAAAATTTTAATCATCATCGTATATCTTAATTATCTTGACAACCAGCGATGGACTTTAAAGTTTTTTTTTTATTTTGTAGAAGAGAAGTAGTACTTTTAAATAAAAAAAAAATCGTCTAATTTTAATCACTAGAAGCCGAGATAATTAAGGTTAAAGTTTGGCATTTGATTTTTAACATTACATTATGATTTTGGTGGTGATTGTCACGATGATCACGTGACATAGTTATTAAAAAATGCTCAATTCGCTAGTATATATTTTCCAACTTTATATAGTCTTTAATTAAATTTTTTTTTTCTTTTATCTGACAATAGTAAACATGAATCTAAATCTTTTAGCTAATTTTAGTGACATCTATTTAATTAAATAGCAGCATTCTGATGATTGATATAAATATAAAAGTTCACGGGATAGTCAAATACCTTCGACCTATAGAAATATTTGAATATTAGAAGAATGTTTAACCATATTTCTTATAAAAATTGTTCGCTATATCGAAATAAAGGAATGAGAGCTCATAAATATACACAACTTTTTAGGTATTAAGAGGTACACAAGTCATGATACTATAATAAAGTTAGTACATATTAGTAAAATATACCCAGAGTAGAGGTTATTATCCTGTGTTTCAATTTTAGTTTTTTAGAGTTAGGGTTAGTTGGCATGTGATGACTATTTTAAATTTAATTTAATTATTTTTGGTCATAGGTTAAGAGCCTATACCCTGGGTAAATTTTAAGGATGCCCATTAGTAAATCGACCCTAATAGAAGAATAAATAAGTATTAGTATAGTTCTCTTATAAAACATACCAATTTATTAATCTACATATATATTTATCTACTTAGTTTGCTAACTATTAGTGAATAAGTTATATTGATTATCTATTTAAGTTCACTCAGTAGCTACATGATTCAACTTGACTCCAGATATAAAAAATTAATATGCACTATCACTTATGCAAATAGCTTGTGCCAGGTTGGTGGTGCATTAAACAGCCAAAGTATTTCCCTATTGTTTTTCTTGTATGTATATCGATTCAAAAATTAATAAAATTTTCCTTTTCACTATCCATGGCTCATTAGGGTGTTTGTAAAATCAGTAAATCAAACCATAGTTATATGAGGATTTTTTATTGGTATTTCAAACATTTTGAAAAATTAACTACTGTTACAGCAAGGGAGAGTTTTTATATTTTTCAACCAAATTTAACTCAGTGTCGTAAGCATTAAATACAAAACTTGTAATTTACTTCAATACACAAAGACAAGAGTAATATCCACCAAGCTTCTCTAGTACAAGAAAGAATCTCTTCTTTTAAACTACTTATTAGACTCTAATTATTATGCAAAACTTAAATAATGACCTAACTATAAAATGCCTTAATGATCAAAGTATAATATAGGTTTGATTATTAAGCTTTATGTCTGTCAAACTTAAAGCTCATAAACCTGTCATCAGTCTTTCAATTATAGTTGTATCTGTCATATTTAAATAGTTTGTTAAAGATTGTATCTGATACAAAATATAATCAAAAACCTGATGACAGGTTTTTTCTTGATGGCACTAATTTATATTAAATGTGATACTTTAACAACACTCAAATTTTATATTTAACTCATTTAACTGCTATCATTTCAGACAAGACAGGCATCTTTATAATATTTGTAATAGATGAATAAGATAAAGAATCTTTAGTCATCAAACTCATTGTTTCAATATTTTCATCTAATTCTTGTTAGTTTTTTTTATATTTTGTAATAATTATTATAAATAAATATTACTCTGATTGCGTTGATTCTAGTCTTAACACAGTTTTGACAAAGATTAATAAAGTCTTAATTGTTTAGAATAATAACTTGTATTATATTTTTTTTTAAACCAGTAATTAATTCTTATTCATATTGAACCTTTTTCATTAGCATTTGCTCATGTAATGTATTTACTATATTTTTTTGGTCAAGATAAGTAGTTGGCAAGAATGACATAACTGGTGATGTGCCGCATACAGTACAGTATGCAAATTTTTTTTAAAATATTCTAGAACAAATCATTGAAGTATCTCTATCTCATATTTTTGATTATGAAACTGTCTTTTGCATTCTAACAAAAATTATTCCTTGCACAATGTTACATATAACTGATTTATAAATGTTACATCTATTATGTGTATTACATATACTATACACACTATACAACTATACATACTGTATGTGAAAAAAATTCAAATATCATAAGCAAACATACTGGACATACCTGTTCAAGTAAAAACTTGATTTTGAATGCATTAACATTGTAGTACTGTATCATTCAAAATGCAATTGCAAAAAATATCAATATATATAATTATTGTAAAAGGTGCATAGATACATTATTTAATTACAGTATATCCTATATAATATTAATAGTGCATATGATCACCTTCCTTATCATATACTTCTTGAACTCTGTTTATTATGGTTTCAACAAGATGTTTTCAATAATCTTGAGATAATCCTCTCCATTCTTCTTTAACTATATTTTCAAGCTGATTAAGATTGTTAGGCTTGGGATAATGTTTTTGAAGCCCTGTTTTGACCTCAGACCACATATTTTCTATAGAATTTAAATCTGGGCTAAACAAAGGCCATTTTAATACCTTAATGCTCTTATTAGTTAAATATCTTTTAACAACCTTAGAGGTATGTACTGGGGCATTATCATGCTGAAATACTCTGTTATTATTTGGAAATTGGTCTTGTAATGTTGGAATCGCATGGTTACTAAGTGTTCTACAATAAGACACACCTGTAACCCTGCCATAAAGTCAAACAAGAAGGCCACAATTATGCCACGAAAAGCATGCCCACACCATGATTCCTTTCAACTTAATAGCCAGAACTAGGCAATCACTATCGAATTCTTCGTCTGGCCTTCTCCATACATATTGATGTGGTTTAGATGGAATTAGGCTAAAGTATTTTTCTTCCGACTAGAGAACGTTCTTCCAGTCTTCAGTTGTCCAGTGAAGATATGTTTTAGCCCAATCATATCATTTTTTTTTAGTCTGATTATTGATGAAAGACTTTGCGTAGGCAACACGTGCAAACAGGTTAGCTTCATAAAAAGTACAGCTAATGGTTCTTTGAGAAACTATCTATAATAAAAAAAAATAAGTAAATAAAAAAATGTAAAAATATATATATATATATATAAAATAAAATAAAATATAAAAAAAAAATCTATAAAAAAATATGAAAAATGCTATCATACAGCATTAACTAAAATACCCAAAGTACTTTACAACTTAAGCTGTATATACAGGTATTATAGTCAGGAATACTATGGTGAGTGTAGAGAATATAAGTTGCACTATATGAATGTCACAAAGGAAGAGCTTGTAGTATTGTGATCTTATTAAATTAATTACTGATTACATCAAATATAAGTGCCTCTAAAAATTGTAAGTATTACACTAAGAGGTCTTTTAGTCCACATTATATGGTAATAATAATAATAATAATAATAAATTATTATTACTTGGTCTTCCCGATCTTCCAATTTTGCTTGAATTTCTCTCTTAGTCATACGATGATTATTCATAACAAGTTGTGTTAGGCGATTGCATACTGATTTATCTAAGAGTAGTAGTCTTCCTCAATGATCTGGCAATGTTTGGAGATTGTAATATTGTTTTAGCACGTTCTTTACAGTTTTGGGATCACAACCAACAAGATTAGCAATTTGCCTATATGATAGGCCTAACTTTCGATAAGATATGATTTCTTTATGCTTTTGTTCTCCAAGTGTCATAATTCAAAACTCGGTAAGTGTAATGAACATATTTATATTTACAAGTTTTAATGAACTGTTAAATTATTACATTTATTTAGCTCAGTTCAGAAAAACAATGTACGTAAAATGATGTAATTTGTATGCAGTAATCTTTTGTAAATTAAAATTTATGTAATCATACAATAGTGCGATATTTTATTTTATTAAAAAAAAATTTTTGTTATGGATGAATTTAGTTTGCTTTTTGATCATAATATGACGTGCCCATGTGATAAAATAACAGTAATTAATTTATTTGGTGTTAGATAAAAAAAAAACAATTTTTTAATTTAATGAGCCATTAGGGTGTTAATTAAACTAAATAAAACCAACCATTAATTAGGGTTGCAGATCCAAATTTACTGCGGATGATAGTAATTTGGTACATTTTTCTTTCGAACTAGCATAATAACTAGTGGTTTGATTTTTTTTTAAAAGATAGAAAAAATTGTATAATTTAATGTAATAAACATTTTTTTCGATTTATACTATTTTTTAAGTAGTAAATTCTTTAAAAGTACGAATGAGCTTTAAGTTTGACAGGCATAAAGCTTAATGATCAAACCTATATTATACTTTGAAGATCATTAAAACATTTTATAGTTAGGTCATTATTTAAGTTTTGCATAATAATTAGAGTCTAATAAGTAGTATAAAAGGAGAGATTCTTTCTTGTACTAGAGAAGCTTGGTGGATATTTCTCTTGTTTTTGTGTATTGTTACAGACTATTTTGTACTAAATGAATGGTAATTCAGTAATTAGCACTTTTATTATAATCTTAGTTAATGTACTCTTTCTTTTATTAGGCTTTTTGCCAGAGGCATGATGTTGGTGATCCGATTAACAATTCTATTAACTTATACACTTCTTATGCATTATAACCGACTTGACCACAACACTTTGGGTCAATACTTTACTCGAACCATGGTATGTCAAGTTCTGGACTAGACCACAGTATGTCAGGTCAGTCAACTAGCTTAGTAAAACGTCGAGCTGTGCTAAGTTAAGTTCAGTATGTCGAACCTATACTTCTGTATTTTTGTCGAGTTATATTTTGCATGCAAATTGTATTGGTTTTATTTTACTACTTACTAGAAATGGTAATTGCAATACGGTACAATATTCTATATCCTCTTAATCAAAAACACATGGTTTCCCTTTTATAACAATTAATGTTTTGAGGCTAAGGGGTTTTATTAACTAAGGAGGTCTCTAATCTCTTTCTAACACAACCCCTCCTTTTTATTATTCTATCTGATAATACTTTTTATAATTATTTTTTTGTTACTACTTTTGCGTCATACTTAGGCTTAAACCTAATAACCAGAATTTTGTTGATAACTATGTAGGTATACCTATTTATAGTAATTTCTTTATTTATACTACTCATGTTCTAAAAACCTAACATTGTTTAGAATTGGGGCATTTCTGGCGTAGCTCTGACCTTATTTCCAGGATAACCAATTTTCTTCATAACAGTATTGAAGTAAATTACAAGTTTTGTATTTAATGCTTGTGGCACTGAGTTAAATTTGGTTGAAAAATATAAAAACTCTCACTTGCCATAACAATAGTTAATTTTTCGAAATGTCTAAAATACCAATAAAAAATCCTCAAATAACTATGGTTTGATTTACCAATTTTACAAACACCCTAATGAGTCGTGAATAGTGAAAAGAAAAATTTTATTAATTTTTGAATCGATATACATACAAGAAAAACAATGGGGAAATACTTTGACTGTTTAATGCACCACCAACCTGGCACAAGCTATTTGCATAAGTGATAGTGCATATTAATTTTTTATATCTGGAGTCAAGTTAGACCATATAGCTACCGAGTGGACTTAAATAGATAATCAATATAACTTATTCATCAATAGTTAGCAAACTAAGTAGATAAGTATATGTGTAAATTAATAAATTGGTATGTTTTATAAAGGAACTATACTAATACTTATTTATTTTTCTATTAGGGTCGATTTACTAATGGGCATTCTTAAAATTTACTCAGGATATAGGCTCTTAACCTATGACCAAAAATAATTAAATTAAATTTAAAATAGTCATCACATGCCAACTAACCCTAAACCTAAAAAACTAAAATTGAAACACAGAATAATAACCTCTACTCCAGATTTATTTTACTAATATGTACTAACTTTATTATAGTATTATGACTTGTGTACCTCTTAATACCTAAAAAGTTGTGTATATTTATGAGCTCTCATTCCTTTATTTTGATATAGCGAACAATTTTTATAAGAAATATGGTTGAACATTCTTCTAATATTCAAATATTTCTATAGGTCGAAGGTATTTGACTATCCTGTGAACTTTTATATTTATATCAATCATCAGAATGCTGCTATTTAATCGAATAGATATCACTAAAATTAGTTGAAAGATTTAAATCTGTGTTTACTATTGTCAGATAAAAGAAAAAAAAAATTTTAATTAAAGACTATATAAAGTTGGAAAATATATACTAGTGAATTGAGCATTTTTTAATGACTATGTTACATGATCATCATGACAATTGCTACCGAAATCGTAACATAACGTTAAAAATCAAATGCTGAACTTTAACCTTAATTATCTCGGCTTCTAGTGATTAAAATCAGACGATTTTTTTTTATTTGAAAGTACTACTTCTCTTCTATAAAATAAAAAAAAAAACTTTAAAATCTGTCACTGGTTGTCAAGATAATTAAGATATACGATAATGATTAAAATTTTATATATTAGAATAGATTATTTGAATTATCTCTGCAACTAGTGATTAGATTTTAATAATTTTTTAATATTTTATAGAGAAAATATATATCTATTAAATAAATAAAAAAATTATTTGTTTTAGACCAATAATCATTGAGAAAATTAGTTTAAAAGATAAATTATAAATTTTTTGTTTTTGTTAAATTTTTAGTTAACTATTGATTAAAATTGTATAAAACTTATATAGTAGATAGAGAAAAACTTTATTTATAAAATAGTAAAATATCATTAAAGTTAGATTGATAGTTATTGAAATATTTGTACAGAAACATAAACACTTACCAAATTTATTAAAATCTTAAAAGCAAAATTAAATAACTTGCTAATTATGTAAGTATATGATCTAAAAATGATATGACATAATCATCAAGAAATAAGGTTTTATATAGTCAAGTCAAGAACATAGATTAATTAGTAAGTTTTTGAATTATAAGCTAAGTCCTTAGGTGTGGAAATATTTTTGTTACCCCTCTGTATATTGTTGAATTAAATTTTTTTTGCTTAATTATTGGTTTTTATTTTATTGTAAATATGTATATTTTGGTTTTGAATTAATAAGAATTTTTAGTTATTGGTAACTTTGTTCTTATCTTTTATTAATATTAACTTTATAACTAATTACAACATATTTTTCTAGTTTGACTTAAACTATTAATATTTTGTAAAAAATTTAAAAGTTTATTTACTAAACTATAAATGTTAAAACCTTCTGTTGTTACAATTTTTGTGAAATACAAGTTTTTAAGATTATCTAAAACTGCAGTTTATACAATTTATATATTCAAGTATTGCCCAAATTGACTAAATTTATTAGTTACATTAATCAATTTATAATAAGTCTCATTAAGAAAATATTCTTTTACAGTGAAAATCAATTGACAAAAAAATCAACCCAAATTTCTGATACAATAAACTTGATTATTTAAAATCATACTTTTTGAATTCTTTTCTACTACAAAGGCCTTCACACTTTACGCCGTTTGTTAATTGTATTTTTATTTAGCAAATAATCATAACGATCTGATTTTAATTAGTGTTTCATTGATGATTTTGGTGATGAGTGCTGATATAATATCATTTATTGTATGATTTCGATTACGCATTATACAATATCTCGCTGATTAGCATTTAGGCGGTACTTATATGACGATAGATCAATACAAAAAAGATTAGAATGAACTCGAAACTGAAATTGTCACTATTTCGCAAGAACTCAATGGTTCAATTTGGGTTATTACATGATATGCGTAGAGGATTCCTTTTAATTGATATATTAAAAAAATAAAAAATTTTGGATTCTCACTGCTGAACCCGCCCAGGATATCGAAACCAATTGTATAAGTTTGTATGGCCTTAATTTTAAGTAGCATATTTTATTCACAAAATAATCTCCAATAAGACAGAATATGATCTTTATTGTAAGCTTGTACAGTCAACTTTTCCAAATCCAAACTTGAATAATCCGAACTCTTAATTATCTCTGTAAAAACTGAACATCAAGCCAAGCTAAACATTTGTAAATTTTAGGAATAAAGTGAGTTGACTGTACTTGTTACGCGTCATATTCATGTGTCATTTGTAGATTATTGTAAAGGAGAAAATTACATTCTTAAAGGTTACCTATTATAACAAAAATGGGGTAAAAAATTCGATACGAAACATATAGTATCGCATTACGACGCATTTATAAAATCTTGGCGTTATTCAATACCTTTTTTTTGACTATTCTTGTTGCGTATCATCATAAATGCTTAACGTGATAAAAGACGTATTAAGTGATTTGCAATAAGAAATAGGCAAAAAAAAAAGCAACGAAAGACGCATTTTATACTTCAGGTTAATGCCAAGATTTTATCGTCACCAGTTTACTTAATTATGCCGGTAATAAAAGGAAACTGACTATTAGCATTATTAAGTTCAAAATTTGATTATTCTCATATCTATGGTTATGAGCATCTGCAAGCGTGAAATCTATGATCATAAAATAATACAATATGTGATTTACAGCTGTTTCATAAATTCTAGGACATCGGCAAAAAATTGTCCAACCGAATATTTGCCGATATTTATTAAAACAGCTGTAAGTACGACCCTTTTACATAAGAGGATTAACTTTATTTCTTTTATTTCAAATTACCACTAGAGATGTACTAATTTATAAAAGAGTATGTTGTTTTAGAAGTTATTCACTCTAAAAATTTTTTCCGCACCTTAATATGTGTGCTTCACGCATATTAAAAATTTTAAATTCATATGTTTTAAGCTTTGATGTGTACTATATTTATTATGCAACTAACATCGTAACATGATGAATATTATACGTATTAGTAATGTGTTACGTATAGTTAAAAATTAAATTAATAATATATAATATATTTATCGTTATACGTATAATAAATAAGAAAATTGATATTTCCACACTCTTTTTTTTGATATTGCTACACCTAGGGTTCAGGGCACGGGTAAAAAATTTGGCATGCCAAAACTCTGATTGGTCAATCGGTAAATACATAGTTACATATGTATATACTGCATATAACAGCTGACTTCAAACAAATTATTTGTCATAAAACGAATTGTTAAAGAATATCACATATAAATTCTAAGACTTCTTTTTACATTTTATGACATGGGGTGTAGTAACTTAGTGAAGTGAATAAATTATTAATCTTTCAAATGGTAGGCTGTAAATTCAAAACCCATCATATATAAAATTTGAAAAAATATACTTGTATTATAACAATGGTATTTTGTCAATCAGTTAGAATAAGATACCTGTAACTATAGACATACTAGCATAATTAATAGGTTAAGAAGCATTTGTGTAATCTTGGTTATATAAAAGAATACAAACCAGTATCAAGTGATACAAACTCAAAATAAGTTCTTATAGTTATGTAAATTCATAGATCTGAAGAACTAAAGTCTATTTGGAAAGATTTGAATAAAAAGATAATACATATTTTTAATAGTACTATTATAAAAACTAGACTTAGAAAACAGATACTAATTTAAAGAAATTGAACAGGCAAGAACTTCTAGATCAAAAATACTATTAATTAGATTATCAAAAGATTTAAACTAGAAAAAAAAAATATTGAACTGAACTCAATATATTAAAAATAAGTTATAGTTTTATTAGTTATCTGAAATAAAATCAGATAATAAAACAGAGATATACTATAGATATTAAAAATATATTATAAAATTAATATTAGAGTTTAAGTAAACTTTGCAAAGATAAGTTCTGTTAATATTCTATAAAAGTAAGTAGATTAGTTAACAAGAAGAATTCTTAAAATCTTATAATTAAAAATATATTCTGAAATATATAATAGTTTAACAAATATATAGAAAGAAAAGCTAAATGTTAAGTTAAATAATATTTA